CCCCCCTGACCCCAGAAACCATCTTATCACCAGCAAACTGGTTGGTCCACTAATGGAAGTGTGCATAGTGCGGAAAACAGTTTGTTTGGGGGTCCTCAGACTGATGAAGCCTTCGGATGGAGGGCGAAACGTCTCTCAAGAAGAAAAAAAAAGAAACTGTCCAGATGACCTGAATGAACATCACTGGATTTTTTTTTTTAACCTGGATTACTGAGCATGAACCTTGATACCTCCCTCCGTTCTTCTCCACAGTGTGACTTCTACCCATTTGCACATCTTGCACCAAAAACATTAAAGTTTAATTGCATTCCCTGTTCAGTTACAGTCCAGAAAAACACTCACCTCCAAAACTACAAACATTCACTATTCAAACCTCTCAGAGACGGGGATGCATGGCTTGTTACATCTGAATACAAGCCCACAGCGTTTCCATTATAACAGTGCGCTGATGATCTAGTACCATGTTTTCCAGCGTATAAGTCACAGTTTTTTTGCATAGACTTGTCAGTCCTGTGACTTATACGCCAAAGCGACTTATATATATATATATATATATATATATATATATATATATTTTTTTTCCATATTCATAATGCAATTCTTGACTGACACTTTAAATTTCCTAGAACTGCAACAGCGAGTCCTCTCCTGTGTGCTCGCTTCACTCAGCTGGTGCAGGTGGAGGAATGCTGGAGAGCTAGCGGCTCCGGCTGCGATAATAATAATAATAAAACTCATAATAAACGCAACAGATCAGCGGTGCGCATAATAAATGCGACTTATATGGGTTTTTTTTTCCTCTTCATGATGCTTTTTTTGACTCATGTGACTTATACTCCGGATCGACTTATACACCAAAAAGTACGGTATAAATTGGTAGACTTGGATTGACATGCAGTTGGTATTTTTTTCAGGGGCAACACCGTAAACTACCATAGTGATGCTGCATGGGAAAGTTTCGAATTATCTACTGTTGATTTTTATGTTGTTGGGTTATTTTTGAAGATAAGTAATCAAAGACATGTTTTCTTTTCACAGCTGGACTGCGATGAGGACTCCCCCAACTTTGACGAGGATGGGAGAGACGAGTACAATGAGATCCACATGCTCGTATAAATACAGAGTGGACCATAGTCCACTTTCCATAAATCCTCTGTCCCACAGCTCTGATCAAGCACAAAGCACAAAACGCCACTTTGGAAGCCTCAGAGTCGCAGGGCAGCTGTGAAACGGAGCAACGGGAGCTTCTGTTGTGTTGTGGACAAGCGCTTCTTACCTTTGTTTATTCCAGTGTTGGGAATCGGCACGATGACAGTGGTGGTGTGATAATCTCATTCGAGATTATGTTAGAGGCCAGGACGTAGCTGTGAGTGCACACCTGAACCGAACCGTGCTAATCTTGCAAAAGACACGACTTGTACCATAATTTATTTATTTTTACCTTAAAATCCCTTTAAGTGTTTTGCAGGTGATGGGCTGAAGTGCAATGATAATGGTGACACGTAGCACAAAAATGAACTGTTCAGATTAATTGACAGCCAACCTTCAATGAGTTTCACTGCCTGTAGTTTAGCCTTTCTCCTGTTCTGCCGCAGTAACGCGGAGCTGAAAGCAGGAAGACGCTCCTTTTCGTTAAACCGTCAACACTTTAATATTCTGTAAATATACTTGAAGCCAAAATCCCAGGAGACATGAAAGCCACTTTGAGAGGTTTTGTTCCTGTAATTTATTCAGTGTTTTAAACCTTTAGCATTAATGCGATTCAAATTTGCTTCCAGTCTTTTTATTTTTCTACTTTATATTTAATATCTGTTGATTTGGACGTTTCTGAACACGCACGGTTCTCGTCTTAAACTGCTATGAATGTTTATGGTTGTAGGTCAATGGATTCAGAGAAAAAAAGACGTTCATCTGTGCTCTTATTTTCTCATTTGGTTGAGTTTGTTTCAGAAAGTCACAGAGATTAGGCAGTAAAGCTGCAGGAGTTGTGTGTTGGCAGGATGGATGAATGTTGCGCTTTACCAAAGGAGTGTTAAAATTACGTACCACCAGTGTTTTATGCAGTGATTCAGTATTAACAAGTGCAATGTTGCAACATTTTCAGCATCCTCCTTTCTGCTGCGCATGAAAACAAAGTGGTCAACTTTACAGACAGAATGATTTTAAAGTTCATTAATTGAAAAGGAGATGAGAAAATGGTTTTAGCAAGTCCTAAAGAAACATATTTGTACTAATCTGGATAGATCTGGTGGGCAAAGCTATGGTGGCCCTGAGGTGTAAATGAACAACATTTGAAAAAACTGAATTACATTTGAAAAAACGGAATTACATTAAGCCAAAGCGGAAGTCAAGTGGAAGTCGCTGACGCAGAAGTGGCCAGAATCACATTTGAAAAAAATGGAAAAACATTAAGCCAAAGCGGAAGTGGCCAAAATGGAAGTGACCGGAATCACATTTGAAAAACCGGAAATACATTTGAAAAAAATGGAAATATATTAAGCCAAAGCGGAAGTGGTCGAAATCACGTAAAAAAAAAAAAGAGAATTAAAGTGGTGTTTTTTGTATCTTTATTAACAACATAAACAGACCAATGTACAGTAACACGTTCAGTAACATACATTTAATTTTTTGAATCCCTCATGAAAATTAATAATGAAATTAGGTTTTTTTTTTTTGGGATTCTCAATTAAAAATAACAACTGAACAAATAGTACACGGAACCCACACCCTTCACGGGAGTTTGTATTTGTATCTTGTTACAGTACATTGTTCTGCTGTTCTATGTTGTTAACAAAAAAACAAAAAAAATAATAAAAAAATCACTTACAGTTTGCCTTAATTTAATTCTGTTTTTTTCAAATGTAATTCTGTTTTTTCAAATATTGTTGTGTTTTTTTAATGTAATTCAGTTTTTTTCAAATGTTGTTCATTTACACCTCAGGGCCACCGTACAAAGCTCAAAACTCAGCTGACATTAACAATCCTCTGACTCCTGAATGTCAGACGGTCATGTCCTGTCCGCTCATAAATATAAACCTTATTCTGTGTTGACAGAAAGGGCAAAATGAGACAGTGAATGAATTTTAGGTCTGTAACGAGCCTCTAAAACATCTTGGTGATCATTTGTAAGAGCTATTTTTGCATTAAGTCACAAACTTTGGTTTTGGGATGCAGAAGTTTTACGTTATCCTCACAAATTTGCAAGTTTTTCCCAAAAATAATTTACATTTGCGTACATGTTTGTGAACAACCAAGCAAATGAGTAATAAATCTACCCAAAGCCTTTGTAAAAACGATCTTAGACTATCCAGGTGTTCATATTGCAGAGGGATTTTTCAGCTTGGTAAAGTTACTCCCTCCACGTGCATATGTCTTTGTCACCAGTATGTTTCTTTTTCTTGTGCTGAGGTTATTTTGCAACCTCACACTGTGTCCCTGTGAGATATATATATATTTTTTTTTACCTCCTCTTTCCTCACGTTTTCCCTTTTCCTTATCGAAACTAAAAGGGCAGCGCTTCACACGAGGCTGCAGCCTCAGGCATCCCCGTCTACCCATGTTGTTGTCTTTGGACGGCTGTTCTGAAATGTAATTTTGTTGTGATTCTGTGCAATGACAGTAAAGTTTGATTCTGAACCCTAACCTTAACTTTATAAATCTGTGATAACAACCTACTGAGCCCACTAGGAGGTAGAGCAGGCTGAAGGAAACCTAACTGATAACGTCCATTTAATGGGTGATAACGTTCGAAGCGGGTGAAACTACAAGAAAACTTCTGGTGACATTTCAGCCAACATTTCCTGGGAGCTTTCATACTCTACAGTTACATAAATTAAATTTAAAAGAATATGAGAAGAGTTTAAGATGCTGGTGAAGACTCTGTGACCATTTAGAGAGAAAATTGTCTTTCAATTGTTTTTGATATTGTTCACAACAGAGGCCCCGTGACTCAAAGAAATTGAGAACTTCTGCAAATATTTTCAGTCAAACATCTATTTTCAGTCCAGTGAGAGCTTGAAGCTCAAAGGTTCATGCTTTCTGCATCTGCTCTGCCTGCAGCATAATGCTCCTCATCTCTTCACGAGTGAGCGCAGCCCAGAGCTTGGACTGTGTGCACTGCGGTACAGGCCTCTTACATCTAAAGTGGTGGCACCAGAGATCCAACAGACAAAAAAGACAGGAACACCACAAGATTAAACAACTTTTTTTTGTGTGGGGAAGTTTGCTGATGTTAATACTTGAGTAATTTATTACCGAGAAAACACAAAAACAGTCAAATTCATAAATCACTCGATCTACGTTTGTTTGCGTCTTTTGAACAGGCAGCTAACAGTAAAACCTGTAACTGCTGGTAGACCAAACTGGTTCAAGCGCTGGTTCAAAACTAGATATTACTTATCACTGGTTTATTTTATTCATTTATTTTTTGCTTCAACCAGTAAAATCAAGTCCAGCATCAATCTGTGGTGAAGTAGCACTAAGTCTTTGCTGGACCCGAGCAACGAATCACTTTCTCCAAAGCATTTCATTTCTTCCTTTACAGACAGAACAGTAAAAACTACTCCGCTTACGCTCTGATGTTAAAAGCAAACTAGTACCGAGACGAGAATTCATTTATAAAAGTGTTGTACCAAAACAAACTGTTAATATTATCCAATAAGCACTGAATGCATCACGTAAGGTCTCGATCTTTTGCAGTCGGTGCACAGACGGTTCTGAAACAAACATTATATATTCCTGGGTCAGGTGATCGTCATACAGATCATGAAGATAAAGCCAACTGTGAACCAATGCAAAAAGTCCTTTAGTCCCATCAACACGTTTTAAGGGCTCCACAATCAAAGCAAACTTTAAAGCAGTGGTTCTCAAACTGGGGTCCTCGGGCCCCTGGTGGTCCATGAGCCAGTGCTTGGAGGTCCACATTTTTTTTTTTATCTTACAAGCACGTAGAAGTTTAACAACTTGTTAAAAATACACCAAAATGCAGGAAATCACATCTACTTTATTCAAAATTTTCTGGGCGAGGACCCCCCCCGACTATTTACATTCCGGCATCCATCAGTTTACAAATGAAGCCCTGTTACTTGATCTGACTACAGCTGTTACGATTCTGTTCAGTTTTATGTAAAGAGACTTCTGTAATAATTTGAAGAAGTGTAAATACATTTATTAAGTGTAAATACATTTATTATGTTCACAAAGTGAATAGGTGAAGTTTTAAAGTGGTTTTTGATGCTGATAATTTTCTCAAAACTGTAATTGTTGGAAGTTGAACTTAAAACTTTTGTTAATTAAGTGTGTCTTGAATGAAAAATAGCCCACGTTTAAAGTATAAAAATTGCATTAACACTTTTAACGAACAGGTCTTAAGTATTTATGTTACACACAAACACATTGCTTTAAAAAGACAAATTGAAGAAAATTATTTAATAGACATGAGGGTTTGAGAACCTCTGCTTTAAAGGACAAAAATGTTCTCTAATTAAAGTGAATTAAACCAAACTAAAAGTTTTTTCATTTTTCAAACCCATCCTGTTACTGTCGGAGCCACGCAGGATTTCTGTCTCAGGGGAAACTGACCTTTGATCTGTAAATATTGCTTCCCAGCCTTTCGGCTCGTGGACTCTTTTTGTGTACATAGCGTGAGAAACTCCACACATACAATGTAAAGAATTAGGGCAGACAGTTGAAGCTTTTCATGCTCAACGGAGAAAAAAAATGGTTTTACGTGAAAATAAAGTGTTTATTTTAGTGGGGTGGTGCAGTTTTAGCTGTAAATTAAACTGTTTTTTATATAATTGCTCTCCCACTTGAATCTGCGCTTTGCTGTGAATCAAACACCAGCTTGTATTTATTCTTTGGGTTAATGAGTCACAGGACGAGCTTTGCATTCATCCTCCGCAGCAGTTTTTGTGTTTTAATCAAGTGTTTCAGTTAGGAAATGTTAAGAAACTCAAACGTGCTCTTACTTGGTCTCTGTGTTTTCATGGTTTCATGTACAGAAGTTCTTGACAAAACCTGTGATGAAAGAATTATAACAAAAAACTAAGTTATGCAAAACCACTTGGCACTTATACTTTTTGAATTGTTTTTTTTTTTCCTCCTGTTGCAGTTATGTATTTATGTCCCAAAGTATTAATGCAAAGGTTAAAAATTTAATATTTTTATTAGAAATAGAAGCATAGACAT